ATACTCTTTATGAATTTCCGCTATACAAGATGTATTGTAGATTCACGAAATTCTTCCGCACTGTTCTCAAATTCTATTGTCAATGATAATTTTCTTCATTTATGATACACTATTCGTGCCATTTCATTAACATGTTGATTGTTGTCGGAAAAGAAATAATAAATTTAACAAAGATAAAATAATGAAAGATTAATTCAATTATTTTATCTTTGTTAAATTTTTCAATTTCTATTATGCATTCTTCCCGCTTGATTATCTCGGATTACAGCATTATACTGCAATACTCTTAGAGTTTAGCAAGTAGTTTGCACGTATCTTCCCGATGCATTCTCCGTGCGAGTTTAAATTATTGAATCGTGTGGAACTATTGGTGGTGGCACACCCTTACTAAGTCTCCCCTTATAGATACACAGAGTCTCCTAGAAAAAAATGACGGATTTCTGAAACATATTAATCGTCGAAAAAAAAAAACAGGAACAGATCTTCATCGCGATATCCCTTTCGCACAAATATAAATATCTTTAATCTTTTATTGAGAATTTATTGAGAGAAAGTATTAGGTAAAGAATTATTTGGACAATTAACGTTTCGATTGGGTAATTAGTGTGAGAGGGATTAAATTAGATTCGAGAGTATTTCTCATTTCAGTGAACAATGCTGTCTCCGCGAGTAAAGTGGCAACGTTTTATCGGAGGGCACTAAGTTTCATTCCTAATACTTTCAAGCCAGTTCCTTGTCCGACTACTTTTACCAAGTGCTCTATCGTGCCGTGTGATCGACTCCGTACTTGTGATAGCCTGGCTCGTACGTTTTATACCCTTGCATCGCCTGGCACGAGCAGCACGTGATGTAATTAAACCTGACTTTCGGTAGGGAGTCGATCGAGGGAGGAGGGGCAGTAAATAAAAAAAGGATTCGAGCTTTCGAATTTAACGATCGGTCCGACGAACGATCGTAACGAAGGAAAGACACCTAAAAACGAAGACGGGGAACTTGATGAAGCAGAGGGGGAGTTAAATTGACAATGCTCGCGTCGCTCGACATTGCGCCTGTACCATTTTGCTTCTTTAGCAGAGTACAACGCCATTTATTTTTGTAATACGTTTACGTAGGATAGCTCTTATTTTTATAGAGGTTTACTGTGCTACCGTAAGTCTTATAGAGGCCTGCGTAATAAAGTAGTGTAGGATTTTTGTAGGTGCCGCGGAGTCCACGGTGGGATATACATATATAAATATATATATTAAAAAAAAAGGACACGCACTTCTAGTACTGGCTTTAGTTTGGAAAGAACACGAACACGGAGACACATTAACACACAACACGGGACAGAAACTTTATTATCAGGGCAATGATTCTCAAAGCAATCTTTTTCGCGGGCAAGTTAATGGGAGGAAATGGATGAAAGAGGGTTTGGCAGGGATTTTTTCGCGAGCGAAGGATATTAGCTGACCACATTTACAGCAATAAAATATTCCCCCGTCTCGGCGGGGCGGCGACCGCTTCGACAATAAGCGCTCCGTTTCTATCCCTAAAGATTAACAATTATTGCCGAAGCGATGCGCATCACTTTTTTCTGACATCGAGGCAGTCATCGTTTCGACTTAGGCGATTTGCTTGATCCACGCGCCGAGCTAGATTTAATACGATGTAAAAGAGATGTACAAAGAGTACCGTGTGTGTCAAGCGAATCACTGGAAGGGATGTAATAGTAAATACGGAGGCACTTCGAGATTAAACAACCACGTTGAGAGACAAATGTCGTCGTGTAGCATTTTTGAACCGTATAGAGATAATATCGATTCAAACGTATAGATGAGATAAAACGGAGAGAAGGACCGTTAAACGGTGTTTACCTTTATTTGAAATAAATTGATAGTATTTTTGTAGCAGCCGACGAGAGATTTGAACACACTTTTTACATGTACGAAATCTGCACATGTACATACATATAATGGTCTTCCTCGTCCAACGATATTTTTTTGCAACGATGACGAGAGTGCGCCTTGGCGCTTTTCATTCAATCTTCACAGCTTGCCATTACACTTCTGCAATAGTAATGCACAGAGATTATAACATCACAATGCAAAGAAGTTGATATTTATGGATTTTTGCTTTTTGCATTACTTCAACATGTTCCGCAGCCATGTTTTAATTGGAAGATTGTGATAATCGCAGTCGATATATGATACTAGTCTTGTTACGTATATTCTAAGTTTGGAAATGAGATATGATCAATTATAATTGGCGAAAGTTTTTTTTGAACTTTTATGCGAATTGTTTCAAACTTTCATATTAATATTACCTATCACAATTATTATTTCATTTCCAAATATATCTATTGTCAATTTATATATTATCTATTATGTATTAATTCATTCTCACGAGCTGTGAAAAATTAATATATGTTAAAAAAAATTTGGTCTCTTGGGGATGCTAAAAATCACCAAGCCATAAGTACAAGCGTAAACTCTTCTATCGCTATTTCTCTCAACTCGAATTTTGAACGGTGCCTAAAGCCTTGATTAAATGACGAACGAAAGCAAGTCCGGAATTGCGTGTCGTCGAACCCTTGGTGAATAAGGGATGAGAAGAAAGGGGGGGGATAAGAGGGGTTGCTCTTAATCGTGTATCTGACGTACCCACGCATCAGCAACATCAGGTCTTAAAATTACACAGAAGGAACAAAATTTCTGATACGATACGACGATAAGATTATACCTATATACCGTCGACGCGTAGAAAGTATCATGTCACGTGTTATGTACACCCGCAGTGTGTATGTACGTACGTATGTATGTATGATGTAAACAAGGGAATTATCATAGCGCTCCGTTAAGGAAGAATAAAGTATATATGTAATTGAAAGATAATTAACGCTACCGAACTAATATAAACGACAATGAAAAAGTAGGTAGGACTACGCCGATTTATGTATGTACGTATAAAATGTAAGAACTGCGAGTAATGCACTTTTGTAATAGTCATTTTGCGAAAAATGATAAAAAAAAACAAGATAAACAATAGCAGAGAGAATAAAAAGTTGACGCTTGGTATACCATAGTTTTTATCGACATATCCTATCTGAACACATCCTCTTTACGTACATACTGCATCTAGTTATTATTACAGGTACGTGTTATATATAAGATATTTTATGAGTAAACGATACTAATATAATTACGATTATTATTATTGTAATTATTCTGATATTATTATTATTATCGAATCATTAATTGATAATTAATTATTTGTCATATAATTAATGCGGAGGATATAGGTGCGTATAACATAAAGATGGTACAACTAAGGCAAGCATGTACTGTACATAGTTGTCAATCTTTGCCCCACCACACGAATTATATACATATGCATAAATATATATGTATATATAAATGCATACAGCCATTATATTGCAGAAAGGAAAACATTAATCGTTGTTGTACTAGTTATTATTGTGAATTATTATTATTACTGTCATTCTTATTACCATTATTATTATTATTATCATTACGATTATTGTTATCATTGCAATCATTATCATCATCACTCTCATCGTTACTGCGGTATCATTTTAATGCTACGTATATTTTTAATTAATGTTACATTATTGTTAACGGAAGTAGCCCCTCACTTATAGCATATGCAGATCAAAAGTTGCATTCGTATTTATTTGCAGATTGGATTCTACCTCAATCTTATTGTAAACAAAACTACCCAAGTGTCCTCCACACCTACCCTTCCATTCTCTCTGAATGAAAATTTCATAAGATATAGCGCGTTGTTACACAAGCGAAATATTGATTTGCAGCAACTTCAAGAAAAAAAGAAAAAAAAGCTGTGATAGATGTAAAGGATATTTAAATTATAAGTTTTTTTGCGCTATAACAATATATATCAGTGACTCTTGCAAACGGAATACGCCTGGAAATCCGACATTGAGTTTATTTCTAGATGTAGTAAACGCAATATGAAACGAAACAGATTAATTTTGATGTGAATATACCATTTCGTTAAATTTCAGTTCTATTATCTTATAGTCATTGCAACAAGGCTGTTCAAGGATTAAGAAAGATATTAGTTTTGTGATAAAGTTTACGATTTTCGTTTGCAGATATTGTCAGAACATTATGTAATATAAGGTTTATGTTGTATATTGTTTTAATAGAAAATATTTATAAAAATCCCAGTTTGTTTTAATACGTTATTTATGTAAAAGTAAAATATTTTAAAGTATTTTATACAGAAAATTCTTTAAAGAACATGCCTAAAATTGTAAGGATGTTATATCACACTTGTAATATCCGTTGCAAGTCGAAAGGCACGTTTTCCGAGGCTTGATTAATTATGTAAAAACAAATGCTGTGCACTTGTGATCTAAGAATTTGTGATCGTCGATATGAATTATTCTTTCTTTTTTGTTCTACGTCAGATTATATTCGAACAATTGAAGAAATTACATCGGTTCCTTTATTAATGCGTTGCGCAAGAATGAATAATGTTAGCTGTAATTGCTTATATAGAGCCTCAATAATGATTTCAGTGTATTATTATATTGTGATGTTAGTTTAAGAGCGCTTCGAACCGATATCGGAGATTTGTACTGAAGTTGGTGTAAAATCAATCTTATCGCTAAGGTGAGGGATCACTTTCATAATTTTTTAGGCTACTCGAAGAACGCCCAAAAGCCGATGTCGATTGTCCTTGAAAAATAAGAAAAACGTAAAACGTATAAAACGTATCCCGCGTAATTGTGTTGAATGGCGAAATGCGATGTTTGGGAACTGTATATTGTGATCAGCAAACAGACTACAATGTAGTTTGTTCGTAATAAAATGAACAAACAAAAATACTTGTGTAATAAAGTAGATATCCATGAACAACAATTGGTCGTATTTTTGTTAATATCCATTTAATAATAAAATTTATTCGTATCAAGCTTAAATATTATTTTACATGAGTCTTATTTGATCAAATTTGTCGAACAGCAATGTAAATAACAAAATTTTGTTTATTTCTTAATTATATTATGTGAATATATATATATATATATATATTCAAATTATAATTATAAGTACCTCTTTATTCAATTTCCACATCAACTACGGCATCCTCTACGATTACTTGTTCAGATGTTACAGGTACCTGTATCATTGGCAAAGGATCAGGCGATCGAGTGTAAGTATTGCTTGTTGAATGTTCTTTGAAATACTCTCCACCCTTCTCCTCATATTCTTTGCGACTGACCAAGTACTCAGGAAGATTGCCATTCAAACCAAAATCTCTTGCACCGTACCAAGCATCCAAACTGGTATTTTTCGCAATATTGACATGAAAGTTGGATCCGAACGGTCTCATTTCGCGTAACTCGCGTTGTAATCTTTCTAATAACCCTGGAAAAGCTGTTGGCCCACCAGTAAGAAACACGTTGCTCACAAGACGCGCTTGTTCTTCTGTGGAATACTGTTTCAAAACAAATTCGATCGTCTCGGCAATTCCAGCTTCTACGGAACCAACCATGGACGGTTGAAATAATAATTCTGGTGCCCGTAAACGTTCTACGCCAACGTGAAGTTGATGAGTTTCTCCAGGAACCATGGGAACATTGGAGCCAGCACTATCAAATTCTGGATCATGATGACGCAGAACGTCTTCCAGTTCTAAGAGTTTCTCCTGTTCTAACTCTGAATCGGAATCGCCACCTTCCTACAAAGAAATGCTTTGTAACAAAATATATCAGTCTGTGTTATTTGATATAAGAAAAATATGTACCCTATTTATAACTTTGTACACGTCCCAGTCTTCGTCTCGCATCCCAAAATCATCATCGCGTTTTTCTTTTTTTGCCAATTGACTAATTATACGCATTCTTTCCTGTGCAGCAGCCGTTCTTCGCTTTGCCATATCTTGTCGTCGTTGTCTCTTTGCCATACGTTTATCTAATATCTCTTGTCTATAAAAAAATAACAGTTTAGTAATCTGTTAATAAATACATGTGCATATATAGAAAAATTACCTTTTTTTTCTCACTCCAGCAATCCATTCATCAATATCCTGATGATCTTTAGGTTGAAGGCTAGTCTTAAATTTAGGTTTTTCTTCCATTACAATATTTTCCTCTTGTGAATTAGCAGCAACTATTTTTTGTCTGGTTCTTTCCACTTTTGCTTGTAAATTGTTGATCATTTTTATTAAATCAGCTTCATTTGCAAGAGAGTAAGACTTTAATGCCTGATCAAATTCATCTATTTCACCTTCTTCTAGAAGATCTTGAACTGCCAACAGTTGATTAAGTTGTTCTTCATCTTCTGCTAACTGGAAATATAAGATACGGGATTAAATATTATCTTCAAATAGGAATAATAATGTATGACAGTAATATATAAAAAATAGAATTATATAAAATAACTAACTAAAAGTTAGTATTAATAATACTAACTCTTTCTTCCCTCTTTCTTGCATTAATTTCCATTAATCTTCGTGCTAATTCTCGCTTTCTTTCTTTCTGCTGCTCAAGTGTTAGACCAGGAGTGGTAGTAGGCGCAATATATGGCAATTGCACTCGCAAAACACGTGTATCATAATAATCTACATCTGCCCATTTGGATAAATCCTCCTGATAGCCTAAAGCAATCGTTGAATGTTCGTGTATCAATTCCTGAAGGTCATAAAATAAATATTTAGTAATTTCTGTTGTCGCTTATAATCAATATTTAATATATGTATGTACCTCTGCACGACTAAGTGTTATCGCATTGACATGTACTGGATATTTCAATTGAAGAAGCCTATGCATATAAGACGTGATATGATATCCACCAACATTGATTCTTCTTGCATTCATGGCATCTGCTTTGCCATCCAATATTGGTATTATATGAGTTGTGTGATATCCTATGCTAACTATTAAACCATCAGGTGGACAGTTATTATGTTGATAAGAAAATAAGCAATCAATTCCATATGCTATTGATGGTACATTGTAACATTCAAACAACAATTCCGCCATCACTGAAATACATAATACATACATAAGTTTAGAAAATTATTGAGTATTATAAAAATTGTAAAGTAAATTGATATTTTCTTACAGTTACGAGAATAATTGGGATTGAGAAATGCTTCTGTCAAAATAACTGGATGGTTCACAGTGCCTTCTGTGTCTATGCCCATATGAGTAAATGTATAGTCAAATATCTGTTCTTGAGCCTCAAAATGCGTTACTACATTTCGATCAAACTGAGTTTTCAACTGAAATCGAACGGCTTCAATGTTTGCTATGTCATTTCCTACTTGAGGCTCTCCATCTTTCTTGCCACGCTCTTTCCGTGGTTTTGCTATGAGATTCTTGAATATTAATTGTGGTTCCTTTTCAGTAGCCCAACCGACTCTGCAGTTGTAGGATCCTAATGCAAAATAGTATTGTTACTTTATCAAGTATAACATATATACACATATATACAATCAGTAAGTAAAACATAATTAAGATACATTTACAAGTGTGAATTACCATTGTCAATAACAAGTGGTGTACATTCAGACTTCACTCGTTGTGGATAGGCATGTATTATATCCGGTATGGCTTTTATATCTTTTAATTCAATTAATTCTATTTCCATTTTATCAGCTTGAGATACAGCTTGTAAACTTTACGTGCTTGTCGCAACAGAACGACATAACCTATTTCGCACAAGTATCGCCCTCTTAGATATGTAAAAAATGACAGTACTAAATGGAGTTTTAAAAAGAAAATTTTATCTATATTTATTTCTTATTATTCAAATTTGATTCATTTATTAATTATTATCAAATAAACAAAATCAGAACGCAGTAATTTATTAACAAAATTAAATTTACCGCGCTATAAAAGTTTAGTTGTCTACTACGATAGTCAAATTACCGATTAACAGATACAATTATAAAATACAACGGTTGAGTAATCGACTTTGGAAATAGGATCTCTAATTGGTAGATCTAAAAGTATGCACCAATTAGAAACAGTTGTTACTCAACTGTTGCCCCATCGTATATTTTTTAAACATAATTACTTATTGATTTCAGCAGTGTTTCAAAAATGTAATAACTGAATGAGACGGCGTCTTCCACGAAAATCAGGTAACGTACGATTTGTTATAAATATACATTTTAAACATGAAAAATTAAGCAAAATATCAACACGTAATGGTTTGTATAACGTAACACCTTCAATAGATATAGACACAATTGTTGCATCGAAGCTAAATCTTTGGCTACAGTTCATTTGACATTACAAATTCTTCGATGCGTTCTTCCTCTTTTTCTTACTTTATTTGAAAGGAAGGAGAAGAACGCTTCGAAGCATTTGCAGCGTCAAGTGAGCCGCAGTCTTGAATAACATTAAACATACGAAGCTACATGTATATACATTCAATTATTATATAAATGGCGGTGCATTGTACGAATAATTTATTTTTAGAATTTCGGGATTTTGTAAATTATCAATATGTCACACAATGTCAAAAGATTGCGCTATATATTATGTTATTTTGTACAGTTTAGAGTTATATATTTTTATTTTGCAGGAAATTGCGTATGCATCGGGAAATCTAGTATTTGTATGCATTGTGTGCACAGTATTTGGTTATAACCTTGTATCGTTTGAACGTGCTGACTTATTCGCGTGAGGAATAAGAGCGTGCCTATGCCATCCGCCAAATTCGACGTATGAATATTCAATGGACGTATCATTCGAATATCGACAGTGCTCATCGAGGGTTATTCCTGTAACGTGTCATGTTGGTGTCATTACATCGGAAGCAGTCGCACGCTGATATATGCAGCATATACGTACGTATGAAAACGCATTCTCTATCGGAATAACATTCGCCTAAATCGCGGGGAAGTTCATGAATAGCGCTATTGTAATATTGGATTGTTGGATCATTTTGTGTAAACTGAAGTTACATCAATAACAGAAACCATTAGGAATCGTCCAACATCGCGATATTGCATGCAAATCCGTTGTGTAATAATCAGATAAGCGTTTACCTCCGGCCTTGCGATTACATTCCGCACGGAAACAAGATTATTGTGAAAACTTTTTCGTCTTTTGCTCTTTACCCGATACAAAGCCGTAACGATCTGAGAATCGCTTTACGAAAATTTGTCGCGATATTTCGAGTATAAACAGACCTTTGTTACGCGGAATCTTAAGCGGGAATCGCTTCTAGCAAAATAGCTACTGTGAGACATAGGACTTTGTAACTGTTCTATGTTCGATAAGACAATGTGTTCTTCGCAACGTTTCACTACATGGAAATAGGATATTCGTTATAATTTGGTGGGGAAGATGTAAAGAGGAAATTTGTAGGCACAATTACAAAGGCTGCGTCAGTTAAATGTACTTGTCATTACGAACGATATATCTATGAAATTATATTGAAATTTATATTCTCTCTTAATAGTGTCTGTAAAATATGTAACAAGCTTGGTAGTTATGCTTTTTTTATTTGAGTTTAGCAGGAAATTAAAAAATTTATTGAATCTTTTGACAAAAAGTGTTGATTGAGTTTCTTGAAGAAAAGATAATTGCATTGATATATATTTTAAACTAGCGCTATCAAACCAGATTTTATGTAACATTCAAACTAGAAATAATCTTTGGAATATAAATTTAATCTGATTATCTTAATTATAACTTTGTTAAAAAGTATTATAATTAAAAATAATCATTTTAGTAACGTACGGACAGATTTTTTGAGAAATTTTAATACAGTGCAATTAAAACTTTAACAATGATTACTTACTATGAAAATGTATTCAAGTATATATAGTATAAAAATTTAGTATAAAAGTGATATTATCTAGAATATAAGGTCAATCTAAAAGCTTTTACGCACCAGATGAACAGACTATTTCTATTCAGCGGTTTTCTAATTTATTAACTTTTCGAAAATTTAAGGTCACTTTCAATTAGGTAGGATATTCTCGTTCATGGTCTACTTTTCTAGTGGCAGTCGATCTTTTCGAGCGGTTGTGCGCGCGCACTATAAAAGGATAGCCGGGGGTCTAATTGCAGCCATCAGCGAAAGCCGACGGACCGGAAGCGGGCGGAAACTTTGAGCATTCTTCGCATGGTCCTCCATCGGGCGTCGGGCGCGTCGAGAGAATTCCTTGGCGATAGTTCCGCGCTTTCTTTCACAGGAGATCTCGCGCAAAGGCTTTGGTCCATTTTTCAGTATTAGGAAGAAGCGATAGCCGCCGAGGCGATTGGTAATCGATATCCGTGGAGCGCGGGAGCTCGTAAACTGACCAAACAACGATACGTACGGCCCGATTGCTTTAGCTTCGCGGAGAGCGAGTACAGGTGTGCGATTGGTTGAGCAGGTGAGCGATTGGCTCGACCTATCGAGCTTCCGTTTACTTCTCTCGTTTCTGCCTTTAGCTTTTCTTCGGTCTATTTGCGGCACGGAACCGTATAAAGTACGCAGAGCTGCGAGAACAGTTTTATGAAACACGGGAGATTTTTCGGTATGTTTGTTTTATATTTTAGTCTCACTACGTTTTTTATTTACCGTTTATCGGTTTTTTAATTTTATTTTTCGAATATTTTAAAGAATATCTTAAAGTATATATTCGTGACTGCACATTAGTTTAATATGAATAACATTGAATGTTTTTTGTTAGAGAAAAAGCAATTATATATATATATATAAAAGATTTTTTTTTATATTTGAATATTTTAACGGCATAATCTTAGTTAAATGCTGTAATCTTTATTGCAATTATTTATCGTGATCATATGCTAACTAACAAAGAAAACGCGACACTTTTTCTCACGATTCGCGCCACTTTATCGGTTATTTTTTACTACTCTTCCCCGAGGCACATCGCTCGAACTTACAGTTTTCGCGGGCGTTAACTCTCGTTGCGCCGTGCAATTTAGTGTTTCAGCGACGTATAATCGCGTTAAAAGTCGAGCACCAACTCGAGACGAGGTGGTAATCGCCCGTTCTATCCGATAACGAGTTTCGTCTAACTTCACGACTGCGTAGTGGCGGTGAAAGAGAACGACAAAATAAAGGGGCCGTCCACGGAGACAGTAGGCAAAGGGTGAGAAAAGGAAAGGGCGGCGGATAGAACTGCGCGAAAAGAGTGAAATCGAGAGATATAATAGGTAATCTCGTTTTAACGAGTTCTCTTGTCCGAGTTATCTCTGATTGAGGTGGATATTCGCAACAGATTCAAGATTGAGAAGCTTGAATGCTTTAGGTTTTTATACGAAATATTTTATAGAAGCAAATATTTTTTTGTTCCAGTGCAAATGCGGAATGTAATTTATTATAAAAATTAAATACATATTACACTAATTTTAAGGTTAAGAGATTATTTTATATTATTTTTTTGCAATACGATATATCGATAAATCGATATATCGATTTATCGATATATCGATATATGCATAGGGAACCACCGCGCCACTTCGCTTCGGTTATAAGTTCATGTCGCATGCCATGTTAAGATGAACTTGAAAGTGTATCCGTATTTCTTCCATTTTATTGCCGTCAGAAGTGATGTAGACATGCATACGAATATTGAGAGTTTCAAGAAAGAGCATCGAGCATGTATCATCAAGTACGTATGGCTACCATTAATCGCCCGTTGCTGTTCTATCTCGCGCTGCTATAAAGTGAATTTGATCCGTTTGGTTAGCGTCAGTTCGCTTTCTTACGGCACGCATTTCACATTCGTCGCTTATTCGAAGTGCATCGCACGGACGTATCGGAAAGTCGAACAAAGTATCGATCAATAGTTGTATTGTAGTGCATGTAGCAATTAAATGCTTTCACCTCTGTTACGGGTATTCGAGTCGCGATTAATGAATGCGTGTAGAACACGGTGCGCGTTTGTGCCACAGTTCGGTTCGATTCACCGAATGAACGTGATTGACGCCATTATGTGCGTCTTCCGTCTGTTCGAAGTAAATCGCGAGTCGAGTGTCGAATGAAGTGACGAATCGTAATTAGCCGTGTTTTTTTTTAGATATTGGTGCACACGTGAATGAGCATCCTGGACAAAATTGATTGCGGCGTCGAATCCGCGGATTGACACTAGTGAAGCAGCCAGTGGATTGCCGTCATCGATACGCTCCGGTGAGTAAATTTATTTATCACGCTTGCCTGCGTAATTATGTATTTATTTGAAAGAATTCACCATTGTATTGCATTTGACATTGCGATAGTGATTTGACAGTTTAATATCAAATGCTTAATTTTAACGCATTCTCGCTGACTATACTAGCGAAAATAGATTTTTATTTCATTTTTCGCTTGGTTAACGATCTGAAATACGCCCGATTTAAAATCTCACGTAAGCTCTTTTAATTTTTTATACTGGTGAATAAATGCACGATGATAAATGACGATAGCGATTAAATGATAACGGGGAGCAGACTTCTATTACCATTGAGCGTCATATGTCGACGGCGAGATATTTAAAAAAATTATTTTGGACTACTAAACTACGTGGTATATGCCAAAAAGCTTGCAGACAAATGATAAAATAACGTTGAAATAACAAATATAATAATTATAAAAATGGTGCAAAAATAATTGCGGCATTAAAAACTTAGAAAGGAATTATAATATCATAACTTAATTTCACAGGGAGTCTCTTGTGTATTTAAAAAAATTGTAACTTACGTCTCATCTCATAAATCTTGTTACGTTGCAATTTTTATTCTGTCTCATATAAAGCGCATTTTTCGTTACGAATGGGGACTACTGTCTCGACCGCAGTAACAGATTTCTCGTGAAGATTGCGGATTGTATGTATAAGTAATTCTAAAGTTACAGAGCTGAAACAACGAAAGCGGTTCGTGATAGGAAGGATGCACATCATCTACGGTTGGATATCATGCCTCTCGCTATTTCTTCTGTTTTCTTTTCGTATTATCGTGCAGGATTGCAGCTTGCATGGTAGCTCTCTTGAGGAACTTTGAGGAACTTCTACAGTACGCGTCTATGCGCGAGTAATAAATATTTTACCGCGGCTATCCTCTTGACTTCTTCGTCTTTTGTGCCGCGTTTCCATGCTGCACCTCGATTCCACAAAGCTCAGAGCTCGTGGCTTTTCAACATGATTCATTAAGTGCGAGCAGAATTACGAGGAAGTACTAATTTCTGCTGTAAGCAACATTAAGAATTAAGAACCGTTTTCGTTGTTTCGTTCAAGACCTTTGAGGTGAAATAGCACCGGTGCTGCAATGAGTATTATTTTATTTTTAGTGTGAACATTTTATCATACTTCAAATAAAATATATACTGATTCGTAATAACAATAAAAAGTTTTTAATACTACATGCATACAACAGCTATTTTATTTCTATCTGCATTTATATTTGCAATTTTTAATTCATATTTGCTTCACCAGTAATATGTCACAAAATTTAGCGATATTTTAAAAATTATACTAAAAAGTAGAACGTAACACTTTAACATAGTATTTATTAATTTACCCCAATTTCTCTAACAAGAGAGTTACGTATGCGATATTCTATCAGACGAAAATTCGACCTACTATTACAACCTCTCGAAATTGTCGATTATATAAAAGCTTCGACTTTAGAGTGCTTCCATTAAACAATAAAATAGCTTCTCGGGAAAATGCTGTTCTGCTCGCGGAAGTTGTCGGTGTTCTACATCGACCTAGATACGTACGAGTTTAAGGAGAATCGGGAAACGATCATGTGGTCGCGCGCTTGTAACACGTGCTCGGTGTATTCTCGACGGTACGTGTTGCTCTTTGCTCTTCTCACGTATCTCCTCGTTACTTTTCTCTCGGTCACCCGGATGGTAATCTATTGGTTGTCCATATTTGCATGAATATATATTTAAAATCTCGTAATAACAACACCGTGTTGGAAATTGTGTCGATTTAAAAATTCATCAATTTTTGCGTGTATTGTTTTATAAAAAATTGTAACTTCTTTCCTTATTCGAATATAATAGCATTGTTACGGTACTTTGTTATTCCTTTCAATATTTTATCACATTCGGCTGAATATATTGTATTATTAATACAATTTCGCGCGTAATTTAGTAATCATTTTTTGTACGTTGAATTAGTAATACCTAATAATAATGCAAATATGATTTTGATAATAATTATACCATCACGGTTTGCTGCGAGCTATTGTATATGATGCATATAAACAAACAATAGTGCTCGCATTGCAATAATAAACCGACATGGCACAGAGAGAATACAAGTTTTCCTTCGCTTTTTTTACACTAAATGAGCGTAGATAATAGATTAAATACACTGAAACTTATTTACGCGTCGAGATATATAGTTTTGAGAAAATGATGGGAGCGAATGTTCTCACGGACGCACATGATGCAACGTGCAATGTTAAACAAGTGAAATAAAATTTAATTGAAATACATTTTGTCGTCCTCTTTGAATGCGGCTCGGTGCTGTATGTTTTTTTTCTCTTGTTTTTTACGCGGTAATTCGTAGTTACAATGGCGGTGGGTCGGTGGTAAAGCGCGAAAAATGGGGACGAATAGTACGGGCAGCTAAAATGTCGAAGGCAACGAGGAAATCGAATTTGGTTGACCACCTGGAAGAGCGCGGTCGTAAACGGAAATAACGAAGTAGCCCCGGCATTAGGATAAAGTACCGTTTTGCTCGTTGCATTCTGAGGTCGTAGACTGATGCAATTTGTCCGTGGTGCATTTTGGCTATGATAAATAAAAAAATATTACGCGAGGAAGCTCTGGCTTTGAGATAAGTGGTCGTATATTTTTGATACAATTTTATGCAGTGCAAGTGATTTGAACATTTTGTAGAGTGAATAATTTGATTGATGTGAAGATAAAAAAGAGGGGCAGAAAATAAGAATAAACAGAATTGGATAGGTGTAATCATTAATATAAATGATGTATGAAATCGATATTAATACAATAGTTATAAAACTGATTTTTTAAACATATTTTTAATAATAATTTTGAAAAATATGTTATTACGGGTTCGAAATTTATGAATAACAAAAACAACTTGATAGATATTAAAAATATTTATTATTGTTTAACGATCAATACACGTACGATACAACTTGTATAGTGATAATTTTCGATCTGTTGTGAAATCATAATCGACATTTTCTAATGTAGAAAAAAGTTAATTGTCTTAACATTTTGATTAATAAGATTCTGTCATATCATTTATCAAACTATGCATAGTGCGATCGAAGGTACTTTAATGCAAAGCTTGTGAACATCACTCATACAACTCAAAGTGTTGGAGCGTCACGCTGTCATTGCAATATCAAAATGTCTCGCGTGCCTTGTCTCATCTCCATTACACATACTCATCGCTTTGCCGCCCTCAATTTGTCATATGTCTAGAACATTGGATATAGTAAAAGACAGGATCTAAAGTTATTTTCAATATTGATGTTTTTCTTCGCACTTTGTTTGTTATAACTGAAGTGTACATTGTGGGATATATTTTACTTTAGAGACATACGCGCAACAATAATAATGATGATAATAATTTGAGATGTAAATCATAGAATTGTGAAATTATTTACGATTTTAATATAACATTAAGCAATGCATTTGAAATTTTTATATAATTCTTTTTTATTATTAGAAATATGATTCTATTTTTATTATTCAAAGAAATACAATTATTATTACTTTATTTTTTAACGTCTCTATTGGTTTTATGTTTGGCAAATTATTTGTTAATAATTTTATAGGATAATTTTTCGTAATAAAGTCGAGTAATAAAATATCTCATATATTCAAATTTTGGCGTAATCCAAACTTCATTATGAAAGTTATATATAATGGGGCCAATGTAGTGTCTTGATAATTCTAATTGCTTTTCATAATGAAGCAAGCGCTTTGCATAAGGAAAATATTGAACGCAGGAAATGCACAGCATAGAAACAAAACTATGTAAAACTTATTACTATCATTTTTGCTATATATGTTATAATATGTTTTTATTAATGCATTCTATATTAATTTTGAAATTTTCTTGATGAGAAAGTTCAATTTTTAAAAAATTATTATTATTTCTCGATCGTTATTCGATAATTATTAACAATATTAAATATAATATTTAGAAATTTCAAGTAGTTGAGTGCGGATCTCGAGATCGAACATTATATAGTTACAGAGAAATTTTTAATTAAAAGTGTATTTGAACAGGTTGAACTTCATGTCTGTAAAATTCGGAAATTGTTATAGTTCAAATATAAAAGTTATAAAATGTGTGCTCTGCATGAGCTAAACGCAGTTAAAACATTAATTTATTGTACAAGTAGCAAATAGCGCGCAAGGAGCCTTAGGAATCGTAAACGGTTTTCGCCGCGTCTTACTTTTTCGAGTAAGATTAAAGTGTGATGACAATACAACGAACGTATACCACGTTGTAGATCACAAAAAAAGTAAACCCAAAGTGAGCGAACATAAATACATGTATGTTGTATGATATATACAAGATACTGCTTTATTTGAAAAATTGTGGTGCTGTACCATTACGTAATAATGGAAGATAGTTCCGCCTCATCGTGTAAGAAGTATTAATTATCCTAAATGAGAAACTCACCCTACGCCTTCTCACGCCGCGTTTAGAATTCTGCGGTTAGAGCAATTTCTTAATGCAGCATTTCTTTAATGAAACTCATCTTCTTAAGATCTCCTCATTCCGAATTTCTAGCACTGTCGGGTATATCTGTAAAGTTCTTAATGTCAAATCATGCATGTAAAAACGTTTGAAGAATATTATATTAGGAATATTATATGGTAATTCAGTTGTTTATATCGGAGACTTATTGAGTTAGGATATATTTCGTTCTCATTGTTTCGCTATCGTAGCAGATGAAAAAAAAGCGCAAATTGGATGGATTAAAATCGAGTATAATCCTTGCGGAAATAAAAGATATGAGAACAATTTGACATTTTCACTTTGCCTTGATTAAGGTAATTTTTTTTCACAGCTATACTAGGATGTTATGCATTTAAATTTTTCGAAATCTTTGGCTACTTTGTCACTACTTGCAGATCGATTATTTTGCTACTATTCGAACTTGTAAAATCTCAATTTAGTATATTCGAATAGTATTACAGAAACAAAC